TTGTATCTATGGGCAGGCAGGGAATGGGGCAGGGTAGAGCAGCCATCAGGGTCACTAGCAGTGTGGGGCCAAGTGGGGCATGGATTCGGGAGCCTGGAGGGGGGGGGAAATGGGGCCTGGTGGGGCAGGGATCCAGGGGGCTTGAGAAGCAGGAGGGGCTGGCTGGGGACCCCCCCATGGTCCCATCTTCCAGCCCCCCTAACCCCCTACTTACCTGCAGTGGAGCCTGGGTCTAGCTTCCTGCAGCTGGCATGCTGCCTGCCCTGCATGGGAAAGTAGCATGTTTCAGCACCAGAGTAAGGGCCAACCACAGAGACTCTGGCTGCTACCAGAGCATCTCTGTGGAGGACCCTGCCTCTACTTTTTTTTCACTCTGGTTTTTTTTGACCCCTGAATATCCAGGGGTCTAATTTTGCCCCTGTGCTGCAATCTTGCAGCAGGGCAAACCTTTTCCCGTTCCCACACATGCTTCTTGCAGCATCTCAAAGGGATTTGAGATGGATGCTGCAAGAGGCACGTGTGGGCTCGCCTGGACATGCCTCGAGTCAAATAGAGCTCATCAGTGCAAGTGAGGAAGCTTCACAACCGATCCGATTTGGCTGAATGCTCTTCCCATGAGATGTCAGGGTGGTTGAAGTCACCCATAATGAGCATGCACCAGGATCGTGCAGCCTCTGCCAATTCCCTACAAAATTCATGGTCAAGCTCTTCCTCCTCGTTAGGAGGTCTGTAATAGACTCCTATAGTTATATCCCCTTCACCACGTTCTTCCCGTATTCTAACCCAGAGGATCTTAAGTCGCCCTCTTTGGGTGCCAATCTCTGCTTGTAAGGAAGTGTACTGCTCCTTCACATAGAGATACACCCTCACCCTTTCTTGCAACACAATCACTCCTATACAAGGTATAGTTGTCAACACCTGTGGTCCAGTCATGGGTGGAGTCCCACCAGGTCTCTGTTATCCCTATGAGATTGTATTCATTTTTGCTTAGCAGAAGGACCAGTTCCTCTTGTTTGTTCCTCATGCTCCTGGCATTTGTGTATAGGCAGTTAAGCCTGCCATCAGAAGCCCTGGGATTCCTTGTCCTCTTAGAAAAGTGCCATCCTTGGGCTGGGGTAGGAGTGAGTTCCTTTGTGTTACCTGACCTGTTGATTCTGTGGTTGTCACTTCTAGGGCTTGCACTAGTGGTTGTCCACCCATCCCCCAGCAATCATGGTTTAAAGCCCTGTCAAGCAGGTCAGCCATTCTGGCTAAGAAGAGCTTCTTTCCCACTGAAGTGAGGTGAAGGCTTCCCCTTCCCAACAAACCACTGCCTCTCTCTCTGAAGTGTGGACTGTGTTCAAAGAAGCCAGAGCCTTCAGGATGACACCAATGCCACAGTTTTCTGTTGACTTCTTCAATACATCTCCCTCCTGTGCCCGGTACCCGTAACTGAAAGGACCAAGGAGAAAACTACCTGCACCCCACCCTCTGAGCCCCACTCCCAGAGCAGTCATGACCCAGCCATGATTGCTCTGAGCTGTATCATTCGTGCACACATGGATGAGGAGCATGGGGTAGTGGGCCAAATGAGTTTAGGAATCCACTCTGCCACATCCTGGATATGGGCCCCTGGGAGGCAGCAAACCTCAGAGGCAGATTACTCCCTCTGTCCCTTTCAGGAAGGAGTCGCTCACTATGACCACCCTACATCTCTTCTTAGGGGTGGCAGGTAGCTGCTCACCTCATCCAGAGCCAGTGCTTCTGCTGATGTCTCTGCTGGTGGTATGAGAGTGCATACCTGTTGTTCAGTTCCAAGGGAGCAGTGACCCTGTTACTGTGTGTCTTGGGACCCAAGACAGCCATCTTCCAAGCATCCCCCAGGTGCAGCTCCTGGTTGATCTTCCTGTTGTCCATCTTCATGTAGTCAGGCATCTATGCTCTTCTCTCTTCCTTCCTCAGGAGAAGAGTCTGACTGTAGTAGTCATCAGTCTCCTGTTCATGGGCCCTGATGGCACAAATTCTGCCTACCTAGGCCTGGAGCTTAGTCACCTAGGACTCCAAGGACCTCACTAAGGAGTATATACCACAGGTGGTGGTGACCTTACTCCCATTCCCAATTGCTGGCAGCTGGGCCAGGCAGCCCCCACAGCTCAGTGCCAGGGGCTCTATCTGGGTGGAGGCCAGAACCATGGGTTCTGTCTGGGTGGAGGCCTCAGTGGTGCAAGGGAAGAGAGCACCAGTTGGGGCCAAGGTGGGAAGCTGCAGGACGCAACCCATCCCCCCAATTGTATGTTAATAGGCTATGCTACTACCCATGAACTAGCCTAGGAACTGGCTTGTAAACTGCTTTCCCTGTTCACAGGTTCCCTAGTCACCTGGTGAGTCTCCTTTTATACCCTGTTGGGCCTGGGCTGATTCAGCCCCCTTGTTAGGGCTTCTGTCAGGCCCAGGCAGCAATCAGCAATCACTCAGCAGTCAGCAATTCCTCACAATAAACAATCAGCAATCACTCAGCAATTAGCAATCACTCCCAGCTGCTCAGAGCACACAGCCTACCAGTCAAACAGCAAAACCAAAGGCATGAGCAACTGGATCATTTATCTTTCCTGGGTAAGATCTGGTGCCTGGCTTCTCTCCTCCCTTCTCTTGCCTCCAGCAACTGCCTGCAAACTGCTTCCCCTATTTGTAGTTCCTTTTTGTGGGCTCCTAGTCACAGGCTTTCTTTTTGTGTCCATTTCTTTTGGGCTCTGCACAAGACCCATTAGTAGCCTGGTCAGGGCTTCTAGTGCCAGCCAGGATTTGAGTTTTAGCAAAGCAGGAAGCATCCAGAAGCAAGGTGCCTGAGGCCAGAGTGGTTTCCCTGCTACACTGCAAGGGCAGCTTGGGTTCCCATATTGTGGACCTGGAGAGGGACCCTAGGCAGCTAGAGCAAACGTGACCAGTGGCAGAGATGCCTGGCCAAAGACACTTTGGAAAATGTGCCAGCCTTGGAGGTGCTCTCCAGGATGACTTACAGACACCATATGTTTGATTCAAGATGTAGCAGATGATTGACAAACAGCACTATATCACAAGCAAAAAAAGAGAAAAAGATAAAGGGGAAAAAAAAACAAGCAAAGCTTTATTGAGAAGGACAAAAACATCTAATAGGACTAGAAGTAACTGGGTGAAAAAGGAGATAGCTGGGGGACACAATTAAAGAAAGGACCCAACAACATAACACATCAGATATTATGCTGAAATCCCTTAAGCAAAAAGTATCAAGCCAGGCAAAAAACATCATGGAGACATACAAGAGAGGTCGAATGAAGATCCGTCAGAATGGCATGGGAAGAAGTGAAGACTGCTACACAAGCCTGATGAACAAGGATCCTGGTTTTCTCTGATAAAAACAAATCCCCAATTTTCGGGTTAAAAAAAGGAACCCAAAATCCACATTTTTTCCATGATCAAAATGAAACACCATTATACATTTATATATCTATGCATTAGTGGTGTTTCATTTTAATAATGGAAAAATGTGGATTTTGGGTTACTTTTTTTAACCCCCAAATTGAGGATTTTTTAAATCAGAGAAAACCAGAATCCCTGCTGATGAAGGTAGAAAAAAATAGATGGAAGATGGAAGACAGCTTTCCATATGAAAGAAAGAGACCTGACTGACTGACCAAAATAGGATTAATTTGCTTTTGAATCTGTTTCTGGTGGAAACCTAGGTTTTCAACTAACCTTTTTCATGAAAAGTATAAGTGTCTTCTTTCTGTGGAAACATTTCACTTTTATCCTCAAAAAAACCAAACACTTCAAAATTAAGATGCATTCTGTAACTAGTTGAAAAAACAAACAAAAAATCAATTAAGAATGTTGCACAGCTGTATCAATAGAAGTTATAATTAGAGGTGCTCCCTAATAGGAGTCTGTGGGAGCTCCAGTTGGGAGATGTTTACTGATTTAGGGATCAGGTATCTAGTTAGAGAGAGACCAAGGGTCTGCAGAGGTTATCTACTGCTCCACAATAAAATTCATTGTTTAGTTCTTATTCACTTATGCCTGTTTTTATTTAACCCAGTGATCACTACAGGCTGCCAAGAGCAGGGAATGAAACAGAACTTGAAAAAACTTAAGATCCAAACTGAAGAAGGTGGAACCTGAAAGCAAGTGAAGAAATGCAGTCATGGGGAAGAACAAGGGCCACTGTAAGTGATCTTCCTTTACAGTTATAATCTGACAACAGGCAAGAAAGTGTTGCAACCTCCACTGGACCTTCTACTGTTGGGTAATAAATTAGAGATCTAGAAAGCATTTGGACAAAAATGTGTGCGTTACCTAGCAGCTACAGAGGCAGAAATAAAAACTAACAAAGTCAAACAATATATCTTACATAGAGAGTGTATCAACATGAGACACTTACTGTGGAGTTGCCTAGTTAGCTCCATAGTAAAGCGCCAATGCTATTAGACCAAATTTTTTATTGCTGTAGGATAGTACTGCCCAATACAAGTACTAATTCTAAGGAGAGATTATTTACCCCTGCCAGCTGGGGCTGCCCTGACCCAGGTCAAACTGCTGCAGTTCCTGAGTGCATGTGTAAACATGGAAGCCAGGAGCAATAAACTCTGGAGAGATATGTAGACATACCCACTAGCTAGCTGCTTCCTTACAGAGGGACCATCTCCCAACTCCCTCAGTCTCCTGTTAGGGAGCATCTCTAAATTATAACTTCTTTTAATATATCTTTCCTCTTAATAACTACAAAAATCAGTTCACAGAAAAATTAAGTTACACCCATCTACAGAAGAAAGGGAAGAAAGGTTACTAGCACATCACTCTGTAGTGAGTCTTTACCACTCCCTTTTCCATTCCCTCCTTCCTGCAGTTCTTTTAACAAGTCTCTGTAATCTTTTAAGAGGTTCCACTTTTTTCTGAGACCTATGAAGTATCAGATCCAGCTTCTGATTTGGTTTTAGTGGAAACATGAATCCTTATAGAAGGATCTGGCTGGCTTGCATTTTTGGCATCTGTACTTTAGCACATAGTACAGACTTTAGCTACCAGCCACTGAGGCTTTTTCACTCTTTCTGGATAGTATTTGCATTTGTGTCCTTAGGTTCATTTTTTCCCATAAGGGCTTGGTTGCTTCTTGTCTTCTGGAAGAACTGAGTTCTTCCTAAAACTGTCCAGAACTGGGGTGTGATGACCAAGAGAATCATCACAGCATGGACGTTGTGTCTTCTTGCCCTGCAGGCATATACTTAGGTAGATTCAGTTTCTCACAAGCTTCCAGAGCTAAAATAGAGGTCATCTCCCTAGCTACCACAATGAATGGGCATTTGTATACTCTGTTTTCATACTGAATGCTAATAATGCATCTCCCTTTCACTGGTATATTTGGGGAATAACCAGTTATTTTGATGTTTGTTGGACTTACTTTTGGTCTCAATTTTAATTTTCTATATTTGTGCTCAGGTAAAATATCAACCTGACCACCGGTGCATTTAAATTAAATTATTCCTCGCACTTACACTGGCAAAACTAAGTTCCTTTCATTGATCTTGCTGGCTTCAACCGTAACTATAAAAAAACCCTTTCTGCATTGTCTGCTCAAGAGGTGTTTGTGTCTGGGATCTAAAACACCTGGTAAAAATTTTTTTCTTGTTACAGTTAAAACAGAGCTTTCCAAGTTGCTCTCCCTCATTTAGCAGTCTCCTTGCCAGTGGAAAATTCCACCTTGTGAAGTGGCTTTTTCTGGCCACATGCTTTCATGTCTACCACATGGAGTATCCCTCTTGGTGCATTCAGCTCTGCAGTCTGAGCATTCACACTTTCTGCTGCCCTGCACATTTGGAGAGTCTATTTTAGGGACAAGCCTCCCTCAGGCAAGCACCTTTCTTGTAACGCATTGTCGGCAATGCCACAAATAATTCTACATCTAATCGAAGATTTTGCCATGTTCCCAAAAGCACAGTCCTCACTCAGTCTCTTTAGTTCAGGAACATACTGATCTATACTTTCTCCTGTTTTTTGTTTTCACATAAAAAATCTGAATCTTTCAAGAGTCTCATTCTTTTTATGGCATGCAGGACTCCTCAGATGTGGACAGTATTAGTTTTAACTGCATATTTTGGCCTTCTCCAAAGGTAAAGGTGTTATAAACAGACAGGGTTTCCTTCCCCATTTACATGTCCACTTAGTGCACCTGAATAAACTCCAATGCAATTCATGCCAGAGTTTATTGTTCCCGGGCATAGCATCTACACGTGCACCTGGGAATACAGCATGTTGAGTCAGGGTGACACAGCCCCCACAGGCAGAGGGGTGCAAGGGGGTCAGCCTACCAGCCCAGAGCTGCTCCAACCCAACTTCCATGCTGCAGATGCACTGGTGGGGGGACAAGGGTGCTCCAGTGCAGGACTAGCCAGCAGGCAGCCCCCACGCTGAAGAACCCTGGTGCCCCAGCTAGCCCCATCAGCATCTACATATGCATTGGTGCACACTAAAAACCTCTGCCGGCTGTTGGTACTTGTATTTACAGGTACTAACCTACTGCAGAGTTAATTCAATTACTGTGGTCTAAGAGGGCCACAAGTGTAGATGCAGAGACTACTGCACAGCTTATTAGGCAGCTCTGCAGTAAACATCTCCTGTAGATGCACCCAGTTAGTAAGAAAGAGACTCAGGGCCTGTAGAGATTGCCTACTATTCCACAATATAGTTCACTGTTTAGTTATTTGTATTCATGTAAGCCTGTGTTAATTGAATCTGGTGATCACTACAAAGGCCAATTTGTGAGAACAGTAATTCTTATGCTTCATATGGCTTGTCATGCAAGACTCTGATCATATGGGTGGCTGTTCTTTGAACTCTCTCATGGTTGTCCACGTCCTTGTTAAAGTGTGGTGCCCAGAACTGGACGTAGTACTCCTATCTGAAAATATCAATTTTCTGTAGGAAAAAATCCCAACAGTTCTGGATATCATGTTCTGGTGCTCTATCCCTTTCAAATGAAATATCTTGAACTCTTTTTTTGATGTATATCATGTGCAATATTAAAAATAATGTAATTTATATACTCTTTACATATAATATCTTATAGGTAGATATTGTAAAGTTCTTATTTTGTTTCCATTCAGATGGTCCCAAAGCTAGAGGTAATACTTAACACTAAGTTTTGCACACTGGGGGCATGTCCAGACAAGCACACATGTGCAGAGGTACATTTCCTGCCACATGAAAAACAGTGGCACATATCCAGTGTGCAGCAAATTGACCTGGGTGGTGTAGGGGAGGCTGGTGCCAGCACCTGGGCTGGCCCCAGCAGCTTTATATGGGGTTCTGGGGGCCTCCTGGGGCAGCAGCAGTGCCAGTTCAGCTACTCAAACCTGGCCAGCAGCTAGAGCATAGCTCTGGCTAGCCAGGCTCCGTTTCTGATGGCGCACGTTGCTGCTCTGTGCTCCGTGCCACAACCGTGGGTTGTTTTGACACCAGGATTCCTTGGTGTCAAATTTTGGTGCTGCACTAAAAATTATCAGTGTAGTAAATGGGTGCTTGTGCACCACAGCTTTGAGGCACATGTGCACTCGTCTGGCCACACCCTAAAGGTGTAATTCTCTTTCCTTTTGCGCATCATAATGGCAGTTTTCTGGTTAAATACATGACATTTCTTGCCACTTATTAAGAGTGGTGATTCTGTTTCCCCTACAATGTGAACATGTGAACATGAGCATGTAGACTTGGCATACACAGTAGGCTTCATAGTGGCCAGGAATGTGAATGGCTACTTACCTGAGAATGTGGCACCTAGCTGAGTGTAAATCCCAGAAAAAAGCACAAGTGTGGGAATGAAGCTCTCCATGTCTTAAGCCCAATATGAGGGTAGTTGGACACTTGGCTACGAATCCTGAGACATGGGTTCTAAGCATACCTGACCAAAATGAGGGCTGAACCTGGCTTTCTTAGATTCTTCAGGTATTATACCCACTATACCACAGCTTAGGTATTACTTAGCCCCTTCTCCAGAGCTCCTTTTGAAGCCCAACGTATAACAGTCAGGGTAAAACACAGGGCCTGCAGCCAGCACCCATCACACTAAGCCACACACCATCCAAGTTGGTCTCTTCCTCCTGGCCCCACATGGGGCCATCTTGAACAAACATGTTAGACAGAAGGCTGGGGAATGCTTATCTTTTGGTGCAATAATTTCAGCACTGTGCTGGGAAGTCAGGCCAGGTACAAAAGTTGCACTTATTGCACAGTAAGCACACAGAAAGCCATAACCAAACAGATGGTCAGGGTATTTAGAGCACTGTAAAAATGGCAGTTCCCACTCTAAGATAACCCTGGGTGCATGTGCTATCAAACTTTAGCACTGTAGGTTAGAGCGCCGTACCACATCCCAGCACAACTCACATTAGGTTGCATTCTGCCAGCAACCTATGGGGCTTTGCAGCACCCTGCTCACCCGCACTCCCAGGGCGGTGCTCTAGCTTTGGCCAGAGCTCATGTGGTCTGCCTGAGCACCAGGCAAGCCCCATACCCACTGACAGGAATCAGCAAAAGCTCTGTCCCCAGGCCCGCTCACATCCTCAGTCCAGTTAGCGTAGATCCATCCACACAAAGAAACCTGTTTATTGCTGAATTTCTCTTATTGTATATTGTCATGGGTGCTGTTGAGCAAGTGCTGAATGTAGGTCATCTGCTATTTTGCCTCTGCTCACAGTTAACGTTTTTTAAGAATTAATTCATCTGCATTGATTTCTGGCAATGAACAAGTTCCCTAATGGATGCGAGGCATGTGGCGTTGCCAGAATCATGGGGCACCTGCTGAAAGCCCCTGGACATTTTGAGGTTCTGGAGGCAACCTGAGCAGCGGAGGCCAGGTGATGTGGGAGCAGGGACCACAAGCCTCTGAAGTAAGAGTGAGAACCATGTGCCAGGAACTGCACCTTCACATGTCCACCACTGCTTCTATCCATCCATGCTTCTAATCTTTCACCCACTCCCCACAGCCAGACCCTCACCCACCCATGGACAATGAGACCCCACAGGCACCGCTGTAGACCATGGATGAACTCACCCCATCAGCTGCCATCAACCAAACTTGGGCACACAACTAGCAGTTCAGGGAAATAAAAAATGTCATCACCATCTGGGGTGAAGTGGACACCCAGTGGCATCTCCAGACAGGGCATCAAATCAG